TGAGCGAGACGGCGGCTCACGCGCCCTCCCGGCCGGACACCGTGCCGGACACAGTGGCAGCTTCCTCCTAACCCTTGTACACAATACATTGTTCCTTCTACTCTCACCTTTCCACCGTCTTCTCTCAAAACTCCTAAGGAACCAGGGCCTGAATGATTGTAGGTGTTAGGGTTAACCTTGATAGCCTTAACTCCTACAGTACCACCGACACAAGGCAGCACTCTGATAAGGGGATACGACACGACAACAGAACAAATGCTGCTGACGGACACAGGACAAGCTGCTGGACACATAGAAGACAAAGGTGATGTGCAAGCAGGAACTGTGACAGTAAAGTATTCTCTGCTATCTTGTCTGCCTCCCTTACAACTGGAGGGTATAACCAGTTTCGAAGCAGGCACACCCAAGGTTAAAACACCAGGCTAATAGCTGCCGGCACGTTCGACTCGTCGATTATGTACGGGCGGCGGGAGAGTGCATCTGCGTTAGAATGTTCTTTACCGGATTGGTAGAGGCAACCAAGTGTGTGCTGTTGGAGGAATTCCTGCCACCCGTCCTGTCTTGCGCCAACCAATCTGGTTTGACAATCCCACTTCCTCATCTGGTCGTCTAAAGACGGCTTAGCGTCACGGACATGAACCTGTGCAGGTATACAAATCGATTGGCCAATGAGCGTTGTCCTTTCCATTCCAACACCTCGGGATGCAAACCACGTCAGTCATTGCTCCCTACGTAACACAAAGACACGAACCTAAACGCCAGACCGCAACTGTAGGATATAAATGCCCGAAGTTAGACCCCTTAGATACTCATTACACTGATGTGAGTCACCTTTACCTGCTTGGTCGGACGAACTCAACCAACAACATCCCAGCACCCTGTTCAATGAGCACCCAACTAATTCAGTCGTCGTAACCAGGATCCCATGAGCAAAAAGGAAATGTACTGCTGATTGAAAAACAGATGTTTAATTTTTAATAAAGAACAATAAGAATAAGTTCAATGAGCCTAGGCTAATACACATTAATCTACGAGTTACTTAAACAGACTCCACAAGCCAGTCGGCGGATGCCGCCAAAGACCAGTCTACTCCACCGACGTCCCCTCTAAAATGCAGATGAAGATGATGACGACTCAAGAACCTTATCCTTCTGATGCAACAACGCAAAAAGCAGAGCAAGAACATAGTCTTGACTTACAGATCTTCGTCCACGACGAACCATCTTCCAAGGCGGAACAACTAAAGAAGGGCATAAACTCTGTATATGAGAAAATGCGCAAAAGCAAACTCAATGTGGAGTATTGGAGAAGAGGTCTGGTGACTCACAGTTCTGGGCCGATGATGCGTCGCCGACGTCCGCCCGTCCCTCCACATGCACGTCTGTTGGCGTCCGCGATGACGGGGACGAGGACTGCCATGCCACCAGGGTGGAGCCGAAGCTCAACTCACTGCTGGCAAGCGAGTCCTCGTCCCAGACGTGCGAGGGGTAGGGACTGGGCACCCTGGCTGGCCTCCGGGCTGAGATCTGATTCATTCCTAAAGGCAGAATTAGAGAGTGCGGATAGATTTGGAGGAAAAATGTAGTCAGGCGGGAGTTTGAAAAGGAGGCGACCTACGCTCTGTGAGGCCAGCACGGGTCTCGAGAAAGTGGCAGCGGATACATTGGCCCGCTGCACTGCTCATCCCATCGCCATCCCCCTCGCAGACGTCATGCACGTAAAAGGCGGGTGTGGAGGGGGAATGCCTTACTGCTCCATCGGGAAGGTTTTGGAAGGGTTCTGCATTGGAGGGGTCGGCTGATCCAGTCGATGACATCCCAGAAATGTCCGACCATGGGCTAGAAGCAAAATATTTTGTAGCTATTATTATGCAGTCTGTAGTAGGAAAATTTAAGGAAATTCAAGTGCGATAGATGGAGCACATACGTGTAGACGTAGGAGGAACGTCCAGAACCGGAGTTCCTCAGTGACTGATCGGCATTCTCTGGTTGTGTTGGGCAGATGTCAGCCGCTAGGCAGCCGAAAACATCGCCCGCGCAGTCAACCTCAGTAGCCACTGGAGAGGCTGCGAATGCACCTGCCTCTTCTGCAGCGGGAGACACCCTGTTCGAATGTCGTCCAAGCCTCTTTCGTAAGGAACTGCCTAGTTTATGGGTTTTGAAGCACGTTAACCACGACAGCAATCGCTTCAAGATGGTTGACATCTTGACAGTCTCAAACGAAATGCGCGTTAGGAGACTGTCAGTTGTTACCACAACATCGATCACCTTGGAAAATTGAGGGGTGAATCGATGGGTTGCCACGTGGGCACGTGTCCTCATGGCCGCGTTTCATGTCACGAATGTGTCGCGCCAGGAAGACGGAGATTACGAGGACGAAGTAGTAGTGGATGAGAGAAATTGCCAGAACCGTTCCAACGCCTTCCAGATGGAGCACTAACGCATGCCCCCTCCACATCCGCCTGCTATGTGCATGTGCCGCAAAATGATTTCCCTCTAGACCATGGCCGGAGCTTTCTTCGATTTCGACGAATGAATCGAGGTGGTCCAATAAATTGCAAGTGGAGCGGAAACGCTATGCATCCTTTGCCAGTTAAACCAGACCCGTGCTGGCCTCACAGAGCGTAGGTCTCCTCCT